AGCGTGTGAGTGTGTGAGAGTGTGTGAGAGAGAGAGTGTGTGAGCGCGTGTGTGTGCGAGTGTGCGTGTGAGAGAGTGTGTGTGTGTGTCGTCTCTCTCGTGCTGCAGATCTTCAGTGGTGTGTGTTTCTGAAGGCTCTGGATGTCACAGACGCTCGAGGGCTCATTCAAGGATATGAAGTGTCCTACATGCCCATCAAACAGCCCTCTCTGAAGAAAACCATCCACACCACTCATCTCAAGGTGGATTTTATTTCATTTTTTTGATGAAGTGATGAAATGTCTACCTGTTAGAATTAGGTTAGAAATGTCAGAAATTTCTTAAATATATTTTCATTGTGTGGTTGTTTTTATTTCATTTTATTTGATGATTTTAGTTAATTTTTTATTTTATTATTTACTTTTGATTAAGTGAAGAAATTTCTGCCTGTTAGAATTCATATATAATTAATATATAAATTAATATATAAATAATTATAATTTAGTATTTAGAAATATATACAAAATATAATAATTCATAAGGTTAGAAATGTCAGAAAATTGGTTAAATACAAACATCCACACAATGAAAATGTATTTTATTTTATTATTTTATTTTAATTTAATTATTTTATTATATATATGTTTTTACTTTTGATTAAGTGAAGAAAATGTCTACCTGTTAGAATTCATACACAATTCATGTATGAATTAATATATAAATAATAATAATAATTTAGAAATATATACAAAATATAATAATTTTATAATTTTTTTTTTTTTTAAACAAATCAAACATTCATCAGCATTATGTTAGAAAAGCATTTACAAGTGAGTCATTCCGAATAAGAAATCATCATCTGAGTTTCTGACTGAGACTGGATAAATGAGTGGTGTTTGTGTCTGTAGGTAGTTGTTCCTGTAAGGTCAGAGGAGTATGAGGTCTCTGTTTGTGCCTTTAACAGCGTGGGATGCTCACCACACCGCCGTCTCGCGCTCGACGCGTCTCGGACTCACGGTACTCATTTCTCATGAAGAGTCTTTTCTCAGTAGAATAGAATTGAGAGATTAAGAGTCGCAGCTCTGGTTTAGATTACAGTTCTTGTGTTGTTGAATGCGTCGTGTTTTCCGTCAGATGTGCCGGCGCTGAAGAGTCTCTGGGTTTATCCTGACGGTCCTTCACTGCGGATCTGCTGGGAACACGAGTTCACCGCGGTAAACGTCAGCGAGTTCGCCATCGAATGGAGCGCCGCGACCGAGCGCGAGCACAGACGCTGGGAACGAGTCACCGGATCCACCTTCACAGCCCCTCTGCCAGGTCTGATTACACAGAATACATGTGACGTATAACAGTATTAATGAGTGAAGCTCACAAAACATGTCTGGATCATATTTGAACCAAAAACCTAATGGGAATCGAACACATGGCTTTCCAACCGTCATGCTTAAGTGTTTGAGCTTCAGGAGGTGCATTGCATTGCATAGAATAGAATAGAATAGAATAGAATAGAATTCTAAAAAAAAATATATATATATAAATAAAATTAAAAAAAATTTTTTAAATAATTAAATTAAATGAAAATGTTAAATTTAAAATAAAGTAAATTTAAAATGCTGTTTATAATACTCACATTTTGTGGGGGAAAGTAGTTATAAATAATTAATACAATGTTAAATGCGTTTTTACAAATCATGTTCTCATGTTTGTTAGTTTTTTTGTGTAAAGTTTGAATAAATAAGCAATTATATTTATTTATATAAGCAATTTTATTTTATTGCTTATACATTACATTTATAAGAGTTAGGTATTTCTTTTGAAGCATTAAGATTTTTGACATTGTGACAAATAACCTCATGTCCCTCCGAACTGCATTAGAAGCATGTGAATTTTGCTGGAATCGAACCTGTGCTCTTAGTGTTGCGAGCGCCATGCTTTACTGTTTGAGCATCAGGAAAACACACACACAAAAATAAATCTAAAAAATAAATACAAAAATCTAAATAAAAAATAAAAAAAATGGTGTAATATAATACATTTAGTAAAAAACAAATGTTAAAAAAATGTATACTGTGTTAAATCACATGTTCTCATGTTTGCTTTTTTAATGTTTTTTGTTTTGTTTTCATAGTGTGATTTTTTTTTTTTTTGTATTTATCAAAAAATCTAAATAAGCAATTTTTATTGCTTATACATTACATTAATAAGAATTATGTATTTATTTCAGAGCATTACGATTTTTAACATTGACATGATTTTCATGACAAATAACCTGACGTCCCTCCAGATTCTCTTTAATGTCATTTAAATTATTTATACTTTTATATTTAAACCATTGTGCTGCCTTTCTGCTGATTTAACAAAAAAATGGTATTACTGTATTTTTGTTCCGTGTAATGAAGTAAAACAGTATTAAAGTGCATTTATTCCTATAGCAGATGCTTTTATCCCAAGCAACTTTCATCTTACAAGATTCGTCTGAAAGCAATGAAAATCTAATGAGAATCAGTAAAAATAATGATTAGAATAATGATAATTCTGGACACTTTATTGTGAATTTGTATATAATGCAAAAAAACTGTCATAACCTGGTTTAAGTTTCTTTATGAAAAATATGATTTCTTTTGTTTTGAGTTTCTCTCACTCATCTGTGACCCTGCAGCACAAAAGCAGTGTTAAGTCGCTGGGGTATATTTGTAGCAATAGCCAACAATACATTGTATGGGTCAAAATTATACATTTTTCTTTTATGCCAAAAATCATTAGGACATTAAGTAAAGATCATGTTCCATGAAGATATTTAGTAAATTTCC